AGGGGGAGAGGGGGAGGGTAGAGGGGGAGGGTGGAGGGCAGAGGGAGAGGGTGGGGGGAGGGAGGGGAGAGGTGAGAGGGAGGAGGGAGGGGGAGGAGGAGGGTGAAATTGGGAGGGGGGGTAAGTAAAGAGTAGGATGAGAAGGAGGGGGGAGGGGGGTGTATTTCAACGAAAATTCAAAAACGTAACGATCTTGAGAAGCCCCTTATAGTTTTATGAGTGGTCGTTTCTTTCTCATTAAGAACCATAAACAGACCGGCCTGTGAGGTGTCTGAAACGACCTCATAAAAAGAAATTTCAATATCCGTTTTATGTTAACATCTGCAGCCTATGTGAAAAGTGGCATCGATCTCCTTTTCCCTCACGCTATCAGGGAAATGTGAGGGATGTGTGAGGAAAATGAGAGAGAAGCGTGATGGAGAAATGAGGGAGAAATGAGAGAGAGGTGAGGTGGACGTGTGGTAAACATGAGGAGAACGTGAGGTGGAAGCGAAGAAGATAGGAAATAGATGTGAGGGAAATACAAGTGATGTATGAGGGAAACGGGAGGGAGATGTGAAGGGGAATGTAAGTGGACGTGAGGAAAATATGAGGAAGACGAAGAATAACAAGCGAGGGCGTTTAATGAGGGAGGATAAGAATAAGAAAGAGAAATGAGTGAGGGAGAAGAACGTGTGAGGGAGAAAAAAAAAAAACGAAAGCGAACGAAAGGAGGGGACTGAGGGAGAAGGAAGAATGAGAATGAGAGGGAAGTGAGGGAGAAGGAAGAACGATCGAGGAAGGAGAATGAGTGAAAAGAAAAAAAAAACGAAAATGAAGACAGTGTGATTGAGAAGAAGAACGAGAAGAGGAAGGAGACTGACGGAGAAAAAGAAACTAAAAGAGAGAGAATGAAGAGAGGAGAAAGAACAAGGAAAAAAACGAAAAAAAAAACAAAGAAGGGAGGGGAAATGAGGGGAAAAAAAGAACGGCAATGAGAGGGGAGTGAGGCGTGCCGGAGAGATGGACGAAAGATTATGATGATGAGGTATCAAGCGAGTAATTCTTTCATATCTTAATGTGCGACTGTCTGGGACACCCACGCCCGCTCAAAAATTATGGTTGAGTACACTTTTTGTCTTTTTTTCTTCTTCTTCTTCTTCTTTTCTTTCCTTTTCTCTTGGATTGAGTGCGGTGGGGTGTCTGTGTCATTTAAAACGAAAAATTTCTCGCGCAGGTTTTAGTTGAATTATTCCTATTTTTTTTTTCGTTGTTCTCGTATTTTATCGTGCAAATTTGTTAAAATCTTACAAAGGGATTGGTTTCATTGTTTTTTTTTTTTTTATCTGGTGAGTGCAGAGATGTGGGATGTGTGGCTTCTTGCTATAATTTTTAGAAGAGGCGGAGCGGGCGATAAAAGGGGGTGGAGGTAATTGTTTTTGTGTTTTCGGATTCTCTAATTCGTTATTTCTTTCTCCGTCTCTGTCTCTTTCTCTTTGTCTTTGTTTCTGTCTCTGTCTCTGTCTCTGTCTGTCTGTCTGTCTGTCTGTCTGTCTGTCTCTTTCTCTCTCTCTCTCTCTCTCTCTCTCTCTCTCTCTCTCTCTCTCTCTCTCTCTCTCTCTCTCTCTCTCTCTCTCTCTCTCTCTCTCTCTCTCTCTCTCTCTCTCCCTCCCCCCTCCCTCCCTCCCTCTCTCTCTCTCTCTCTCTCTCTCTCTCTCTCTCTCTCTCTCTCTCTCTCTCTCTCTCTCTCTCTCTCTCTCTCTCTCTCTCTCTCCCCGCCAACTATCTCCCTCTCTACTGAAACATCACTGTTAAGTAATATCTAACACTTTATCTAACGCGTTTCTGTAATTTGCTCGAGTCCACATTCCACATTCCCTCCACATTCTCGATGTCATCTGTCTATTTCTTCATCATCACCTCTTTATCTCCCTTCATCATCATCTTTCTTTCGCTCCACTTTCCTCGTTCGCACAATCAGCCTGCACACCGTATCACTTCTTCCTGCCGTTTATCCACACTTTATTCAACTTTCTTCCTCTCTCCCATCATTTTTTTTCTCTTTGAACCCCTCTCTGTCCCCCCCACCCCTTCCCCCATTCCGTCTTCCGATATACCTCCTCTCCTCTCTCCCTCTCTACCTTCCCCTTCTCCCCCTCCCTTCTCCCTCCTTCTCCCCCTCCTTTTCCCCCTCCCTCCCTCTCTCCCTCCCTCTCTCCCTCCTTCTCTCCCTCCTCTCCCCTCCCTCCTCCCTCCTTCTCCCCTCCTCCCCTCCCTCCCTCCTTCTCTCCCTCCTTCTCCACTCCCTCCCTCCCTCCCTCCCTCCCTCCCTCCCTCCCTCCCTCCCTGCCTCCTTCTCTCCCTCCCTCCTCCTCCTCTCCCTCCCTCTCTCCCTCCCTCCTTCCCTCCCTCCCTCTCTCCCTCCTTCTCTCCCTCCCACTCGACGCCGTTTAATCCACGGAGACAATTCAAATGTTAATGTATCTGCGGAGAGGTGGCACTGCTTCTCCCGCTCTTCCTC